GTTAAAAAAACATATAAAATTATTATGATAATTTAGCTGGCATTTCCTTAATAATAGAGTCTATTACCTCAGTAAAATTTCAATAATAAGCTCATCTTATTTAAATATTAGCTGACATTTACTTAATATAGTCTATTATCTCAGTAAAATTTAATAACACAGCTTATTTCATTTTAATCTTAGCTGGCATTGCTTAATCCAGTATGTTATCTCAGCAAAATTTTAATAACACAGTTCATCTCATTTAATCCTAGCTGGCATTTGCTTAATTTATCCCATTACCCCAATAAAGCTTCAATTATACAGCTCACGTCATTGTAATTTTAACTGGCATTTACTGAATTTATTTTATTATCTCTGTAAAATTTTAATAATACAACTCATATCACTTTAATTTTAGTTGGCATTAACCCTTATTCTAGTAAACTCTCCCGATTTCTTTAGCCCAGGCGTTCCTTCATGTTCTCCTCCTGATTTGTAGACCGGAGCTCCTCTTGGGTTCGCATGCCTTCATCCTTTGTTCGTTTTCTACACGAACCAGATGTCAAGAGAGAAGAGAAGCCGAGCTCAAACCAATGTCGGTGTTTTTTCTACACGAATCAGACGTCGAGAGAGAAAAGAAGTCGAGACCAAACCAAAGTCGGCCGTCGGTTTTGCCGTCCATTGCCAGCAAACTGAGAGAAGGAGGGAGGGAGGAGAGCAGTCGGTGACGGTGGAGAAGCTCTACGGAGGGAGTGACTAGTGAATGGATTCGGGGGAGAGAGAGAAAATGTAGGGAGGGTTAAAACTGGTAGGTGATATTAATAATGCCCTATAAGATAGACTTCAGTTTCAATGCTCCAGAAGTAGCTCTCCTCAACGTTGCCAACATTCACCGTTTGCCATAGAAGTCGGTTGGAGAAGATATTCTAGCCAAACAATCATTTTTTTTCATTTCAGTTGCAAACGTTGGTTTCACAATTTCCTAGGCTCTTCAGCGTTCCAAACGTAGCCTTAATTAATAGGAATTTGGGTTGATGCGTGATTCAAGTATGGGTTCATCAATGCTTGGGCCCAACAGTAACATTGCTCCTTCCAGTCATGAGGCATTTCGCACAACCTCAAAACAACATTCTTGTTTTTTTCCTTAAAGAAAAAAATTCTATGAATTCATGCTAGAACGCGAACAATCCAAAATATAGGAGATGAGGTGAGGTGAGATCAAGTACAGACAGAAATTTCATAACAACAATATATTCAATGCTAAAAATCAAGTAAACACACCACCTATGAAATTAAAAAATGTTGGCAGTATATTAATTTAAACATTTTCAAATATAATAATCTCAACTTTATGAGATTTACGCCTTCCTTTCATCCTTATTATAAGTACTTAAATATAATAAATTAATTTTCCCTTTATTTTAATAGTTATACTTCTCTCTCCCTCTCCCTCCCTTCCCCCCACTACTCTTCTAATTTTAAGGCCATTTTTTTAAAAAAATTATTAATTTTTGGATTTGGTAAAATGTCTCATGAATAGAAATGCCAAAATCTTTAAATTTTGAAAAGGAATGAACTGATTACTTTACTCTTAGTTTGTTTCCTATCTTTTCATTGATGATAGGGCAAATTCTAATTAATGTCAAGTATACATGCAACTAATTAATTAATTGGTTATTAGATGAAAGCAATAATAATAATTTGAAAGTTCAACTAGGCATGTTTGTTGGATGCAGCTACTAAGAATATGGAGTATAGCGTGTATGTAAGGTTTCAAACCGCCCAATAGTACACAAGGCTAGGGGTCTGGGTCCTGAAAAGATACGTACCAAATAATTTGTCGTAAGGTTGTTCACGAGATGAGAAGGGACCAGGACAAACCCGTTCCAGTTCTGTCCCGGTCCTGACGAAACCGGGATGAGAATGAGACGTTCCGTTTCTCTTTTTTTTTTTAAAAAAAAAAGCACTATAATTTTGTATATTTTTGTATATTATAATGTTTATTTTTTATTGGGCTTTTAAAAAGTAAAAACTATAAAAATAAGTGAAAGAAACACTATATAATGGCTTTATGAATTATTTTATTAAGAAAGGAGATTTTTATCTTAAGAGCTGAAAATCACTATAAAAATAAAAATTATTATTAATAAGTTAATCAAATAATCTAATAATAATTATTAGTAAATATTTTTTTAAGAAAATAATCCAGGACGGGATGTACAGGATGACATCCCATTTCGTGCTGAAATTTTTTTGTCCTGTCCGGTTCCGAATTGACCAAAACTAGGACAGGATAACCGAGACGAAACAAGTTGAACACCCCTAACTTGTCATAGGAACCTTCTTTCTTGTGGAATTGTTAATCACTAGAATTTCATGTCATTTTAGCACTTTTTCCTTTAGTTTTATGCACTCTTAGATGTATTTGTTCATCTTTTGACTTTTACCCCTTTTATTTTTGAACTTATAAAGTTTGTCATTTTTGTAAGGTATATTTTAGCATTAAGAGTAATTATGTCAAGCCATTTGGAAAGCTTTTGGAAGTATTTAAGGATCAAGTTGTGCTTTAGAATCACGCTATGGTGATCAAAGAAGAACAAATAGACTCCAAATTATAGGTAAAACTCCTCATTTGAGCTAGAAGAACAAAATTTTCTAGAGGCAAAATGAGTTGCAACACACTCTATTCTGGCTGCCACCCAACTCAAACAAAGACAAACTTGGCCGCAGCGCCAAATTTTTGAGCCGCAGTGCAGTCGCTGACAGCAAAATGCACAGCAACACTAAGTCAGAAAATTCTAGGTTTTAAGCTCCCTAACTCGACCTTGGCCACCATTCTTCGGTTCTGGGTGGTTCTTGGGAGTATTTGGCTATGCTAGGGCTTGCTTCTTGGAGGAGATTGAGCTAGGAGTTGGAGCTTTGAAGAGATTTGGGCTTCTTTCCTTGGTTTTTCCTCTCCATCTTGTTTTCTCTACTCTTATTCCATTTTATGCTGATATATATATATTCTCATGGATTTTCTGAGTATGTGTGGCTAAATACTTTGATTCTAGGATTATTTTGAACTCTTGTAGGGATTAAGTACTCATTTCCCCTATATATTTGTGATTAATGATATGATTGTGTTGATTTTACTCTATGCTTAGTGCTTCTTGTTGATTGGCCACCAATGATATTGTTGGGTTCACTTCATTGATGCTTGAGAGGGTTAGGTTGAGTGTAGAACTTAGATTTAATCGTGTGAGAACTTGAAATTTAAGAGTTGGATGGATGGTTTTGTTAATGAGATAGAGATATACTTATTAACCTCACATGGTCATATAAGGTTTGTAATTAAAATTGGAGCTTAATTAATTAATTAATTAATAATTAATTAAGAGATTGGGGAACTTGAGAGAGCCTTTATAGGTAATTTAGTGTCCTTGGCTAGCATACTCTATAATTAAGAATTAAATACAATGGCGATTTAATTGAGTACTTTTGAAATATAAAGGGGATAAATAATCCTATGTCCCTTTGGATCATTGGAATTGAAGAATCACTTTTACTTTTTATTAATTTTTAATTTTACGAATAGTTGCTTTTACTCTTGATATTTGTATTACTCAAATTAAGCAAAAGTGTGATAATCAATACTTGACCGAATTTTGAAACCAAATTGCCGTGGGAATAATACTTTACTCATCACGAATGAGGGGACTTTGAGAATATATCATATCCACTACACAAAACAAAATGATATTAACATAAATATTCCCTAAATGATATTTAATTTTCAGATTTCAGTTATCATAAATAAAATTCTAAAGAGAATCAATACTGACCTATATTTCTAATTTACCCAAGTTTAAAATTTGAAGAAAAATCATGCAGACATTTGAAAGATAAATAATCATCAATGTGCAATATATTATTTATAAAAAGTGTAAACGATAATTATAAAAGCAACCGCCGCATGATCTATTGCTTTTCTCTTGCCGACAACACAGGCGGGCATTAATTGGCAGATACAGATCGATCAGCAGCAACTTGTTAACTTCAGATTCTTGATAATCTTCTCATAATCTGTGCATTTTTCAATGACAAAGCCCGGATGCAAGGAACCAGCAACATCAGAATGAAATACATCATAAAAGTCAAGGCAAATGCACAGAGAGTGACGACGTGCAATTCGGATGTCAAAAGATGGTCTGGGATCATAAAGTCGAGGGCGGTGAGGTATGGAAATGCAAGAAAGAAGAGAGTGAACAACATGCCAAAGGACGGAATCCATACGACTGCACTGTTCTGCAAAGGAACTCCACTTACAAGCAAGAGGGTGACACAAATTGATCCGTAGAAAGAGAGAGTAATATCTTCCACATACACCCAAAATCTTTGTTGGTCACGAAAGGATGAGACTGCTTGTCCGGGACAATACTGATGAAGATCATTAAGGGTGGTGCAGTTGAGGGCGCCAGATGATGATGAGTTTGAGGTATTGCCTCGGGATAATAAGCCTTGTTGAATGAGGCCTCCTGGTGGATTAATTAAAGCTTGAAAGCTTACAGTTGCTATGAAAATAGATGCCGCCCTCACATTCCCCCTAATCTCTTCTACAAAATTAGTAGTATCCCCAATACTTCATCCAACATAGCATCCATTTAAAAATCTTCATAAAATAATTTCCTTCCATGTTGTTGTCCTTTTCCAACATGAGTTTGATTTCATCGATTTTCCAGTTTTTTGGACAAATATATGTGAGCATATCGTGGGCTGTAAGGCCTTTCCTGTTCTGCTGGTTTCTTATTTCTCTTATTTCTGGAATTGACAGCACATACCTGACAGCCTAAATACAAACACGTCGGCAAGGTATTTGGCTCATTTGCATGCCATTTGTGAATACGTTGTGTTCATTAATAACCATGTTCTTATATATTCATATCAGAACTAGCCAATTGTTATATGTTACCATATATATTGACATGCCACTAGCTCACAATAAACTCATGAAAAAGTGAGAAAGTCAAAGCACATCTGTATGTTTCTTCATAACAAGATGAAGTGAATCAACAACACGCAGCGTGTGTTTGGAAAAATGTTTTTGCATTCATATTTTGTTCTTGTCATGTAAGCCTTTGGCTACAAAAAAGAAAAAGGAAACTGCGACCACAATTCAGAAAAAAAGAAAAGATAGAAGCATAAAGTATGTATCATGTACCTCATCTCGCGTGTACATGACGGCTAAATGGAGAATGGTGTTTCCCATATGATCAGGGAGCGTAAAGATGGGAGCACGAGGCGCGCCTACAGTAACATTGGCAGTGGCATAGTCCAATTTCACCAATACTCGCAGAGTCTTGAAATGGTTGTACATGACACACAAGTGAAAAACACTGTTCCTTCCAGGGTCAAGACAACCTAGAGAATCTGGCCGCGCTATGACCAATGCTTCGACAACCTCTGTCCTCCCCCTCATAGCTGCATAGTGCAGAGGAAGTCTTCCTTTTCCATCAGTAACCAAGCATGGCTCATCATTAAATTCTAGCAGTCTTTGCACGGCCTCCAAGTTATCCTCTGCAGAAGCCAAGTGGAGGGCTGTTCTTCCAGAGGCATCCTTTCTGGTGGCGAGATCACCATTATGATTTAGAAGAACCTGTGTGAATGAAGCATGATTTAGCAGTGCAGATATGTGTAAGGGAGTTTCACAGCCGTCATCTGGAATGCTGTCAAGAATGGATGCGTTTTGCTGCAACAAATACTCCAAAGCTTGTACATCCCCACGACGTGATGCCCGATAGAGCACACTGACATCTCTCATCAGTTCGTCACTCATTTGGCTATTCGTTTGGTTGTTACTTACATTGTTCTGTGCCATCTCTCGCGTTTAGATAATGCTCACCAGCTATATGGTGGGTACCTTTTATATAGACATGGCTAGCTTATTATAATCTTGCTCACCTCCACTTTTCTGTATCATACACCGACATTAATTTTCTGATATTTCCAAGAAAAAAACTAACAAATAATTTTTAAAAAAAGTGTTACAAATAAAATTGAACTAAACCTATTCGGAAAACTGAAGATCATAAAAAGGAGCAAAAGAAGTATTGTCGCTTAGCGGTAATGTGGAGTCAAATCATACTGGGAGATATCGGCATGCCTTTCAAGCATATGTGATTGTGTCTGGCAATAATTGTATTCCACCGCGTTTCCTCATGTAAAATTGTCGATGGGAGAAGAAGTACTACCTCCGTTGTCATAATGTTAATTATAAGATTTAATTTTATATGTAGACTATAAATAAAGTTTTATAATTAAAATTAGAATTAGTAGGTAGAAAGAGAAACCACAAATAAAAGGTGATTTTTTTTTTACCAGCAAATAAATGTGATGAGATGATTAGAATAAAATGAGAAAAAAGTAGAAAAAGATCCACATCCCCCCAATTGCGCACTCGTAAGAGTCAATGTCTCAAGTCGTCTATGATTGCGGTGATGTCATCGGCACTAGTACGCTGTTAGACTTTTTATCAAAAGAGAAAAGACTAAAACCATGGTTTGGGTGTTTGTCCAAATCATGGTTTGAGCAAAAAATTATCTAAACACCCATCTTAAATCAGTAACCATGGTTTTGGTCAAAATCATGGTTTTGTTAAAGGTGTTTTGAATCCGCTTGTGGCAAAAAAAATGGGAGTGTCAGGTGGTTTGCTAACGAATATGACACATATACCCTCAATTATTCATTTCTTTCGTTCTCTTCCGCCTTCGGTCCCTCGCTCTCCATTCCAAATGGCTGGTTCCTTTCTTTTATGCTTTGTTTTGCCTTGCTCCCTCTCCCTCTCTCTCTCTCTCTCTTCGCAAGTAAGGGACGTTTAGCAGTGAGGAGACACGCTAACCGCCCCGTTTTATGCTTCTAAATTCATTTTTGTTACATAAATAAATTTAATAGCCAATTCTCTTATCTTATAATATATATTCACCAATCGGTCATTTTTCTCAACTCTGATGTGGCCTTGTTTCTAATATCTTTAATGTTATATTTTATAAATGTTTTTACACATGTAGTAACAATTAATTAATTAATTATATTAAAGATAAGAGGTAGTATGTTGTTATAAAAACTAGTTGTAAAAAAATGTTATAGAATTTCATGTTTAAAATCTTTAAAGCAAATTAATATTTTTATGTTAGAAAAAAAGTAATCATTTTTCTATAAACATATTTAAACTTATAACTTATAAATATATACACACATATTAATTATTTATTAATTATATTATCTTATATATTATTAATTGTGTTAGTAAAAATTATTTTATTAACAATTTTATTTCTTTAAATTAAAATATATTATAAAATCTATCATTTATATAATTATCATATTAACTTATGCCCTTTTTAGTAATTTGTACATATAAAAAGTGCTTCTGATAATAACTATCTAAACACTCTTACTTTATCAAAATCACTTTTTTACAAAATCTATTCTTCACAAACCATGGTTTTCCAAGAATTTATTTTTCAGAAGCTATTCTCCAAACCATGGTTTGGAGAATAGCTTCTGAAAAATAGATTTTTGGGATAATAGATTTTATGAAGAACAGATTTTGTGAAAAAATGATTCTAATAAGTGAGAGTGTTTGTATAATTGTTATCAGAAGCATTTTTTATAACTACAAATTACTAAAAAAAAGTATAGTTAATATGATAATTACATAAAGGTAGATTTTATAATATATTTTAATTTGAAGAAATAAATTATTAATAATATATTTTTACCAACATAATTAATAATATAAGATAATTAATAAATAATTAATACTCCCTCCGTTCCTTATTATAAGAGACATTTGATACTTATGGCATGTTTCTATATATAAGAGACACTTAAAAGTTGTCTCTACTTTTTTGTGTTGATTTCCTATTTTACCCATATTTATTTTGTCTCTAATTCACACTCTCCCTCCCTCCCACTTCTCTTTCTTTTAATAATTTAAATGTTCTCTCTCCTTATTAATGAGGGTATTTTTGAGAAAAAAAATTATACTTTTTACACATTGATTGTTCTTAACTAATTTTAACTGCTTTTTTGATCAACGTAATTCGGTTATTCGTCTCTTATAATAAGAAACGGAGAGAGTATGTATATATATTTATAAAATATAAGATTAAATATGTTTATAAAAAATAATTGAGTGTTAAAGTCATACTATCATTGAGATCTACTCTAACAAGCATAATCATACTCTCCAATTTGAGCAAGAAACATAATGGATTCACTTTTTCTGAAACTATGGTTTTGAGTCCAAAACCATGGTTTTGACCCAAAACCATAGTTTTGTTAAATTCCCCCCTGTTTGGCAAATATGGGACCCAAACCATGATTTGGATCCCAAAACCATAGTTTTCTATATTATCCAAACAGGCCCTTAATGAAAGATGCTCTGAACTTGCATTGTCCATTAATGGAAGAATAATTTTTGAGATCATTAAGCTAAAAACAATCATTCAGTCGTTCTCAAGGAATAGGTAGTACTAGTTAGCTATAAATTTGGCCAAAAAAACAGTTAGTTATATATTAGAAAATGTGAACTGGTTTCTTAAGATACCTTGTTTAATTATTTGTATTAAAAAGTATTATTCTTTTGATCCTATTTATATCACTTATAATATTCTTTACCAAAACTAAGAAAAATCTTGAACTTTGTTAATCGTATCAAAATTTAAAATTTTTCAATCTCACTCCTATTTAATACATATGCTTTCTGAAAAAAATAACAGCTAGTACTCCGTTATTGATGAAAATATTGATTTGATATGTATAATTAATAGAGATAACTTGGAAGAAAATTATGCATTTGGAATACAAATATTATTGAGATTTCACATTTAACACTAAAGCAAATTTTTCAACTATCTCTCTTATTATATGAAGAATATTGAGTATAAAGCATATCCAACGTTTCAAAGGGGTCAATGTACAAGGCCTGTGGTCTGTGTCTTAAAAAGATTAGGAGCCTTCTTTCATGCGGAATGACGGGACTTTGAGAAGGTATCGTATCAAGGGCTCCATTACACAAAATACAATGATATTGACATAAATATTCCTTGAATGATATTAATATTTATTCTTTAATTTTCAGGTTTCAGTAACTTAAATGAAATTCTAAAGCGAATTATTAAGATGCCCTTTTAGTTGCTGTTGTTGTTATTAAAATCTTCGAGTTAGATACAAGTAGACTTATAGTTTTACGCCAATTTGTTTCATCATCAAAACTATATTTCTAATTAAAAACAAGGTCACAGGAATACAATAGAGATCTATACAGGCCAATGCAGGCCTATATATATTATATTGGGTAAATTCTCGTTTGGGGTCGTCCTTATGAGCATTAATTATCTCCACTTTTCACTTGGTAATCCATTCTGTGAGAATTATTAATTTAGTAATCCATTCTGTGAGAATTATTAATTTAATTCCAACTTTTTCTAGGATCAAATCTTTCAAATTTCTACAACCAAATCCTTGCTCGGACCCGTTTTCCGTGTGGGACATGCCTGTGTCTTTATTTGTTTCAGATTCTAGAAAATAACCTAATATGCAACTCATTAGAGAGTTTTTAGTTTATTTTATTTGAATTCAGGCCTTATTATTTAATTTAACATTACATTAGAATTTTGAATAATTAGAATTAACATTCTTTTCTTTAAAACCAAGGAATCCCACTTCAACAAAATTTATTTTGACCATAATTATCATAATGCATGATTCTGTGATTGTAGAACAATACTGCTAATATAATGGACACACTTTATCAAAGATTATCTGGAGGTCCCGAATTCGGGATATACTCCACTGATAATTTTAAATTTACCATAATTTCGAGACCATATACAAAGTAGAAACTGAAGCACACTGAAACACATCTCTTGTGCAAGTTGGTTATTCCAATTTACACACTCATAAGAGCAGTCAATATGTTTCAAGCAGCGCCCCGGTCAAAAAGGCCCAAAAAAAACAAGGATGGTAGTGCCATTTTCAACATGATTATACTGTGGTAATGATGTAGGCCTAGGTAGCTAGGATCCATTACATATATTACTTTATAGTTATGCAACGTCCACACCAGAAAATTCTTTAGGACACATCATGACATAAGGGCCACGGTCTCAACTTTTTAAAAAGAAACTTATGATGTGTCAAGTTAAAAAAAAACCCGGGGGGGGGGGGGGGACGTGACAGCACCAACCTGACTTTATCCTTCCCTCTCTCCAAAGTGTATGGTAAAGCATGTACAAAATGTAAACTACTAAACTATATATATATATATATATGTATGTATGTATTGGCTATCATCGGTGAACAAGATAGATTTAATTACCCTGTTGTTTGTTTTCAAAATTCTGAATCTGGAAAAAAAAAACAAGTGAAGGATCAACTGCAACAATATAAAAGTAAATAAAAATAAATTTGATTCTAGTCCTAAAAACAATATCCTTAAGAATTATTAGGAGTAAAGAAACCCTGCTTATGAGAAGCAAGCAAGGAACAGAAAAGCAAAAATATAAATAACAAAAAGTAAATAAGTTGAGAGATTAAATAAAGAGAAAAAGAAGAGCTCAAAACTTAAAAGAACTTGGTATTTTTTGCTAGCACCAAGCGCTATCTATTTATAAATAGTAGTTACTTGAATTTTTTAAAAGTTAACCGATATGAGACTTTATTACTAGCTCACACCCGCACATATATACATGTTAGATGAGGCAATTTTTTTTTTTTATGTGAGACTTTTTTCTTTTGACACACCCACATTGAAACACAACAGAAAGTAGGTAGAAACGAATGTTGGATTAGTCTGATATGGACCCTCCTATA